CAAACCAGCCCTTATTCTTACTGAGAATTTCAAGTTCGAGTCTCCTCTTTAAATTATACCACTTAAAACGTCTTCTACTTAATAAAATACCATTCCACTCTACGATAAGGGAATTTATAAAGCTGGTGCTAATTAGGAAAATAATAAGAAGATAAAACGTTTAAAAAGATTTAGTTTTATGCTTGTTTTGGAATGATTTGACTTTTTTGGGTAGATTTGACTTTAAGCTACGGATGTGATACAAATAATTTCTCAAACGAGACAAAAAAAAAAATTATCATTTATGTCATCTCTATGAATTATTGTGATTAATTATATAAGATTGTTTGAAAGGATTTGGATTCTATATGGATCCAAATTGTGGGGATTTTAGGAATCCTCACATATTAGTTATTCATCATGCATCGTACGGTCATAAATTATTTAACTTTTTTTATTTAAAATTAAACAAAATAATACCTGATGAAAACTAACCGTACGATATACGATGAACGATTATAATGTGAGAATTCCTAAGATGCCCACAAGTGAATCCGAAGAAGATTCTCTTCCTGTTTGAAAGCTCCCTATCACCTCTCTTCCCCTTATTATATATTTACTTAGTCCTCACGCTTACCTAGATTATATATTCTAATAAGACCCATAGACTTTGTATAAACAAGGGGCAATACCCTCCTTTTGTCTCTCTCCCTCTCTCTCTTGTTACTTGACAATGTCGTCATGGTCGGCAACAGCCTCGCCGCTGCCCTTGCTGTTCCGGAGGCGCTCGAGCGGCGAGATTAGGAATTTGGCCTCGGTTTCAAGCAGCATCTTACCGGCTTTTGGAACTGTCGTCGATGAAGCCCACTTGCAGCTCAAGAAGTTTGTTATTGCTCCCTATGATAGAAGATACAGGTAAAATATAATGATCTCACTCGTATATTCTCTTATCAGACAGCGTAACATATTATGTATTTCTTTTGATTTACAATCTAGCAACGTTACATGCTAACGCAATAAATCATGAGTACAAAATATTCGTTCTGATTCATAGTCTAATAACGTATTTCCGTATCCATGACCTATGTTAGTGTGATTAATGGCTGTGTATGACATTGAAATGTGATGAAGGTGGTGGCAGGCGTTCTTGGTGGTGTTGGTGATATTCTCAGCATGGGCGTCGCCGTTCGAACTGGCCTTCAAAAAGGTGGCGACTGGGTCGCTCCTGCCCGTCGATTTGGTTGTGGATGCATTCTTCGCCGTTGATATCATCCTAACTTTCTTTGTAGCTTACTTGGACAAGTCAACCTACCTCTTAGTACTTGATCACAAGAAAATCGCTTTGAGGTAATATTCTTCTCTCTCCTGGATTCACTCCCCTACTCCCGCCCCTTTTTAGGAGTGATTTATGGTGTCACAAATTAAATACTAAAAAAAAATATTTATGTCGTTTACTTCTCTTTCAATTTATTCTATCAAAAAATCAAAACTTGAGAAAAAGATGAGTGAAAAATAAAAATAGGTGTAGCACCACATATAATTAATTTGGATTTAATAGGAAACAGATTAATTATGAAAAATCCTCATTAGTATTGTCATATAATATTAGATTTTTTCAGTTGATGAGAGATTTGAAAGAAAATTTCAAAAATCTTTTTGATCCTACGGGATGTGTTATGGATGATGAATAGCTAGAAACACCAACTTATTAAATCAAATTTAAATGCCAATTGATGTGATAATTTTTTATAGTTTGTGAATAAACAAGGTTCTAAGTCGGTCGAGAAAGAGGATCAATTAAACATTATTACAATAATCTAACAATCCGTGATCCAAAAGGATGTAAGGCTTGTTTGGTGAGCTAGTTGGAGTAGGTGTCAAAATGTGAGATGAGCATAATTGAATATGATAGATTATGAATCTACAATAACAAATGATCACATAAACCCGTGCTAAGATACGGTTAGCATGTGGTCACATGAGCAAGGGAGTCCCACACAAATCCGAAGGACGATTTTTGCCATGGCTTTTTTCACTAAGTCAAAATTGTCCTAGCCTATTTCCTACCATACCATGTAGGTGTTATAAATAAGCAAAAGTTAGAAAGATAACCTTTGCTAGGAACAGGAGCGAAGCGGGTGCGAAATATCACACTGTTTAGTTTCGTAACTATAACACAAAAGGATTGCAAGTAAAAAGAGGAAGGGAGGGATACTAATATTATTGATTTTAGTTCTTTTCTTTTGCAATGTGTATTGTGATCACACGGAGTGCTCTTTATATAGAGCAAAATTCGTGACAACCAAACAAACAAAATGACAACACTTTTTGAAAGCATCACACAACTACTATTCCTTTACTATTCCCAAGTCTATCTTACTGTGGACATTCATTCATCCTCACAATTTTACAACAGTAGGCCATATAAGGTCCTTTTTAAGATGTGTTTTTTATATCATATTTTCTTTTCTTTAAAATGAAAAATCAAAAGAGAACTAGAAGACGGAAACAAATAAAAGTGCATGAAAAAACACATTATTGTATGGAAATCATTTCTTATTTCTGATCGCACTAGCATGGTCAAATCTGTTCTTATCAATTTATCTACCCGCACCACTTGAATTTGTTCCTTGTTTTGTATTACAAGATTGTGACTTATCGTACATACAACGAGTTCTATACAAAAACATTCGTACTGATTGTCAAAGTTAACCACCACCAAAGATAATTACAAAAAGAATCAAGTTAAGAATGATGATTAATCTTGATACCAATTGAAATTATCTATTTTTATTTTGTTGGCAATTATAGGTATGTTACAAGAATATATTTTCCACTGGACGTAGCGTCAACTCTACCATTTAATGTGATATATAGAATTTTTACTGGCAATATGCACCATCAGCAAGTCTTTGGCTTCATCAATATGCTTCGTCTATGGCGTCTCAGACGTGTTAGTGAACTCTTCAAAAGGTATTTTAACTTCTAACTACATACAAAATCACTAATTACACATAAAGTTAACATGTAATTAAGATCCTAATAAAGGACTAGTGTTTAATTCACATGCAGGCTAGAGAAAGACACACGCTTTAGCTACTTTTGGGTTCGATACGTCAAACTAATTTGTGTAAGAATCTAGTTTCCTCTCTTTGAGCTTTTATTTTACTTGTTACATTCCCATATCCGGCATATTATGTTGACTGCATATTTATGTTGTTTCATACATATTTTGCCGTATTATAGATCCCGATTCACAGTCTAACAACACAACTCGTAACAATATCTAGTACTAATCAACCTATGTTTTTACGGTGGGGTTTTGGAGCACAGGTCACACTGTTTGCAGTGCACTCATCAGGTTGCTTCTACTTCTGGATGGCAACCCATCACAAACAAGCAAATGATACATGGATTGGAAGCCAGATCAACGACTTCGAGCACAGAAGCATCTGGTTGTGTTACACGTATTCCATCTACTGGGCCACTGTCACTCTCACCACCGTTGGATATGGCGACTTGCATGCGGTTAACTTTGGGGAGAAGATTTTTAGCATCTTCTATATGCTTTTCAACATTGGCCTCTTTGCTTACTTGGTTGGAAACATGACCAATCTCGTCGTCCATAGCGCTGTTCGAACTTTATTCATGGTATATGATTTTCTCCTCTTTTGCATTTGACAACGATTTTGTTTTCAGTTAAAAAAAATAAAAATAAAAATAAAAACGAAATAGTTATTAAACGGTTCTTAAAATAACTAAAAAAAAATATTCCCTTGTCAACTTTTCAACGACATAATCATATTACTAGACTATGAATTTGAGTTGTTTGGTCATTAATCGAGCTGATTGTTGCATGAATGCCTAATGAATATGTAATACCTAATCACAGTCTTGCACCATAAACATGTTGTCTTATAAAAAAATAACTTCCGTATTAATCAAGCATCTCTGATGCATGTAGAACCCACTTCAAAAGCCAAAACCATAAAAATCACCTATATGTAGATAATTGACCTTAGCATTTGAATTCGGGAAATCATTTATACACATTTTCCCCTTTCTACACATTCTTATTTATCATCGTGGAGGGCGTGAGAAAAATGGTGTACGAAAATCATTGATAAAACACGACGCAATGGTCGATTACTTATATACTAGACTAATTTGAAGTGACTTTTTTTGTTGAATGTGATTTATAAACAGAGGGATGCCATCAATGAGATATTCAGATATGCAAGCAAAAACAGACTTCCAGAAGGCTTGAAAGAGCAAATGCTGGCTCACATGCAGCTCAAGTTCAAGACTGCAGAGTTGCAGCAAGAAGAAGTGCTTGAAGACCTACCCAAGGCAATCAGATCCAGCATTTCCCACCATCTTTTCCGAAAAACCGTCGAGAAAACCTACCTGTTCAAGGGAGTCTCTGAACACCTAACTGTCCAATTGGTATAGCTATTGCCTACTCTCTCTCTCTTCCCTCTAAATGCAAGATTCATAATATGATCTCGTCGTTGTATAAATTCATCAAAGAACGTTGTTGTTTGCAGATTTCAGAGATGAAAGCAGAATACTTTCCCCCAAAAGTTGACATAATCTTACAAAACGAAATCCCAACAGATTTCTACATTCTAGTAAATGGAGCATTGGTACACACACACACTCTCTCTCTCTCTCTCTCTCTCTCTCTCTCTCTCTCTCTCTCACAATATCAATCCTACATAAGATATAGTAGAAACATAAACTAATTGCATCGCGTATTTGAAATGCAGGATGTGCTGAAGTACAAGAACGGCACAGAACAGGTACCTTTGAGCACTTCATTGTGAGCATTCCATAGATTGTTTCGGGTTTCAGAACCTCTTCTCTATGGAAAATGCAATGTACTCTCTCTAGGTTCCCCAGTGATGAACGGTGAGATGTAAGTTGCGTCTTCCATACAGGAGAGCATCTGCCAAGGTTTTTTTTAGAGAGTGTAGTGTGTTCGTATGCGCTATTTTAACTATGAAGTTCTACACATCAAGTAATCATGAAGGGCTGATAAACATGAAAGGCTCGAGAGTCAAGAAATTATCGAACATAGTAAAACATGCAATGCAAGATGACGGCTATGAACGAACTAAGGAAAACAAAACAGTGCACCTATTGGCATTGTAGGATGTTCAAGCCAAGAAGCAAATTAAGGAAAACCAATAGTCAGATGCCACAAGCTTGTGTATAGAATGAACTGCTAACGGATCCTACCGTGCATCTCTTTATACCGAAACTGATCCATCCAACCTCAAGGAAGACACCCGTAGCTTTCTCACATTGAGTTATGTCCTTTAAGCTTCCAACAACCTGCAGAGGCAGATGAACAAAGATCATAAAAATTCAACTTTAAACCGTAGCCCGGAAAGGATATTGTACTCGTGAGAAATGGCTCATCTCGGACGTCCTCTTCAATTAAGCAGACACAGTCTGAAAAATGAATACAAAGAATAAATATGGTAAGAGAAACCAAGAAGTACATATGCCCTCTCCTCCCCTAGCTTTAACGGAAAGAAAAAGTAACGTGAAGCGGGAGATCTCTAACATGTTAACCAGCTAACTGATGACCTATGAATCAACCCTGGGAATTCTAACACAGAAACAAGCTATTACAGCAATGTTTGTTGACACTGAGAAGCTTTTCTTATTATGTTGTTCTGATTAAACTTGCTTGTATTTTCAGTTTTTGTCAAAACTAGGATCTGCAGACTTGGTAGGAGAGATTGGGGTATTTTTCAACATCCCCCAACCTTTTACGGTGAGAACGAAAAAGCTTTCTCAGGTTATTCGGATCAGCCATCAATCATTCAAGCAAATCGTACAGTCACAGAATGAAGACAGCAAGATAATAATCAAAAACTTCATTGAGGTAACAACACCTATCTCCTTCCTCTCTCCATTACTCTCGTTTCGTTCTTTGAAGGTATATAAATAACCCTATCATGCATAGTCAGTTGTTTATGCCGAGTCTTTCCTTTACAGTACTTGAAAGACTTGAAACAAGAGGTGCGAGAAGAAATACCATTTCTAACAGAATTGCTCGATGACCTGAATATAGAGGTACACATCTCCATTTCAAACAGAATAACTTGACCGTAAATCTGAGTCTACTTATCCAGCTTTTCATTAGCTTCTATTGTTTATCGAAGAAAGCATTGTGAATTCACACCAATGTAAAAGACTACTAGGAGTTCGGAATTTTTGCCAGACATTCTACTTAGAACAACTTCACAACTGCATTAAGGAAAGCCAACACTGAGTGGTTTCTTTTTTTAATGATGATACTTTCATTTTCTTTGCAGCATATACAACCAAATGAACCAGCGAATTACCAAGGAGAAGCGAACATGGAAGGTAAAGTCGTCCCTTAGTTGAATGAAAATTGTGAAGCATAAATTGAAATTTGTTGGCTAGAGCCGGACACTAAAAATGTTCTAATGTGGAATTTTAGGTTAAAGTGGACACAGCGTTACATACTAATTCTATGCATTAAAAGTTTCAGGATATTTGTCATCTTAGTTTAAAATTTTACTGTCATTTTACAGAAACAAGCGAAACTTCCACTCCAGGGCCAATTACTATGAGAGTCATAATTCACGGACATCGTCCAGATGAAGGTGACACGAACGGAAAACTCATTCATTTGCCCGAGTCAATGGAAGAGCTTCTGAAATTAGCAGGTACCCCCCTACTTGAGACACATACCTCCGAAAACTATAAAATGGTCGGAGCTAGCAAGTGGCTAATACAAATGGTGAGAACTAAAATCCGCCACAGAAGGCCGGAGAGTTCATGATTCAACATATGGCCAACAATATAGAATATCACAATCTTCTCAGTAATACTAACTGATTTACCAATCAGTTTCATACCAAATAGAACACAAATTTTCGACCTCGCTCACACTTTCGTTACAAGTTGACAAATTATTGCAACGTACTAACTATTTTACTGTGAATGCAGAGAAAAAGTTGGGAAAAAGAGGAAGCACAGTTGTGATGGCAGACGGCTCACAGGTCGAAGAGCTAAACGCATTAAGAGATAACGATCGCTTGTTTATCTTTTAAACACAGACACTATGTATGAAGGAATGAACGGACGAATGACGACTAATCAATCGGTTTCGGCCATCTTCTAAACGAATTTTTATAATGTAATTCGTGGAAAATATGAGGATTCAAGAACTTACAGCGTCTGTGCATTCTATGCTCGGTTGTTGAGCAACTCCAAGACGGCGTAAGCAGCTTTTTCAACTTGCTCTCTGACCTCCTCTAAGCCTTTCTTCTTCTCGGTAGCAGATTCCTTGCACTTCTCGATCTCCTCCGAAATTCCGGCAGAGTTCTCATCAATCTCGCTATCGAAAAACCAGATCGTCATTGAAACTTCAGAAGAATAAATTCCAGGAAACAGTTCCTTGAAATCGAAATCAAATCAAAGTTAAATAGAAAACTGAAAAAAAAAAAAAAAATAGAAACTTACCTCATCATCTCAAACATGTTCTCCATCTCGCCCTGGACTTGCTGTGAAATCACTGCGCGATTTAATATAAACTTAAACAGTTTTTTCTTGGAATTCAGGACTCGAATTAGAACAGAAGAATTCGTGGAATCGAATCACAAATGAAAGTGACATTGAATTGCGCGAGAGAGAATTGAGCTGACCGTAGACGATGGATGACATCGGAGACTCGGTCTCCGATTGGAATTGGAGCTGAAGGTCCGACTGAGATGGTGAAGCCGCCATTGGAGTGTGGCGTGTGCTTGTAATTTTGAGCTTTTGGCAAAAGCAGCAGCTGAAATGGAAGGAATGTTGTGTTTGGTGCGCTAATTGCCAAGTACTCCGAAAAAGGAGGGAAACTGAAAACAACGAGTAAACTAGTTTTAAATTTTTAAAGGTGTATTTATACAAAAGAATTTTCATGAATTTCATAGTGTATTGCTGACCTTATTAAATTTTAGTTTCTCTCCTTATGTTTTGATAAAATTACAATCTTCAACCCATACAACTTGCATAAACAAATGATTTTTTAACTAAACAAGAGCAAAGATGGTATTAAATATGGGTAAATCTTCTCCAATGATCAATTCAAACATAATCTTTCATATGAGTACCAACGTAAAGCTAACATGATGTGGAAAGGCATGAACGGTAGTCCACCGTTCCAAAGGCCGATAAGACTCACATAGGCATTTAAGTATTCTCTGATCATCATCAACGTTTAGTTTCTGATTTTGGGTTGGACTGGAGACCATATAAGCCTAAGTAAGTTTGTTTTTTTTTTTATTTTGGGTTTGAGGCATATAGCTAGGAAAATACGAATTATTTTCTGGTTGAAAGTTTTGGGATGACTCGTGTGATTTGATTGTGGTCAAAAGTGGGCTAAAATATTTTTTAACCTTTCCAGGCGCTTTTGAAGATTTGTTACACTTCAGAGTCTCAGACTAAAAAAATCAATAGAAAATATAAAGGAAAAATTAGGTTCTCATCCCTATTTTTCATACTTCATTGATTAAAACCTTATTCATTTACAATTTTTGATCAAGGTCCTTAGATTTAAATAAGGGAGTTTTAACGAAAACCAACATTTTTACATTTTCCTGGTATCATTCACTGCACTTTTATTTGCCCTTTTTCATTAAAACTAAAGTTTTATTGGACTTTTCGTTAGTTTTCCTTTTAAATAAACGTCATTAATTATTTCAATAAAAAAATATTTTTTTTATTTCTAAATATATTCATTTAGTGTTAGAAACGTTATATTTGGTATATTTATATTTACGGCTAAATTTTTTATCATATATTTTTATTTTTAGTTTGTACCCATTTTCAATTTGCAATCCTTTTTTTATTTTGTACCAATTTTCTTTACAGTTATAATTTGTACCCATACATTAATTCTTTTTTATGCCTGTATTTTTTAAACTTTTATTTGTATTTGTACCCATATTTTTTAATTTATTTGTACCCATTTTTAATTATATGTATTATTTTACGTTTTAAAATATATCAATTGTAGTATCCCACATCGCCCGTGAGGGCGTGGTCTTTGGGCCTTATATATCCATTGCCAACCTTAAGTTTCAGTGAGGCCTTTTGCGGACTCCCTGAGGGGAGGGCAGGCGCTGGCTACGGCTGAGTACCGGTCCGCAGGAACAAAACCGTGCGGTAGCTCTGTCTGCGGGCAGAGAATGCCAAAGCGGACAATATCACTGGAGCTGAGGGTTGGGATGTGACAATTTGGTATCAGAGCCAGACTCACGGTCGTGGTGTGCCGACGAGGACGTCGGGCTCCCTAAGGGGGGTGGATTGTAGTATCCCACATCGCCCGTGAGGGCGTGGTCTTTGGGCCTTATATATCCATTGCCAACCTTAAGTTTCAGTGAGGCCTTTTGCGGACTCCCTGAGGGGAGGGCAGGCGCTGGCTACGGCTGAGTACCGGTCCGCAGGAACAAAACCGTGCGGTAGCTCTGTCTGCGGGCAGAGAATGCCAAAGCGGACAATATCACTGGAGCTGAGGGTTGGGATGTGACATCAATAGTTATTTTTTAAAATCTGTTAATAATTATGTGGGTGCATTATTTTTTCACTATAATTTTTGTGAAGAAAAATATTACCCTAAAATTGATTTAAGTATTTATTATATTTTCAAAATATTATTTGATTTGTTTAAATTTCATAATTTGTGGGACATCAAATGCATAAATACATGAGTTAAATCTCTTAAATGAGGCTAAAGATCTCGATCAAAATATTTAAACAAACAGGTTTCAATATAACAATTAAGTTGATTAAAAACTGGAGCCAAAATGACCCGAATATAAATAATGTACGTAAGCCGGAATCAAATCGAAATTATTGGTTTGCTGATGTCCCAATATTGATTATTAACGTTTGTGATCGTTAATGATGACTTTTTTGGATACACGTTCAGGTTCAAAACAACAAATTGGGCCTCTTTTGAGAAGTTCTTGTGTGCAGCAAAACCGTGAAATCTAGGCCCACATGTAGAAAGTCTCCCTTCCTCTAGCAAAATACTGCAAAAACATCTTCGGTCATTTCAATCACGTAACGTAAGATTAAAATATACTTTAATTACACGTTTAAATGTCCCCTCTTTGATAATGACCTCATAAAATAGATGTATTGAAAATTTTGACCGTTCCAATTACGCGTTTCTATTCTTGTCACTTTTTATTTTAGATGAGCGATAGTGAGAGAAGAATCTGACTCGTAATTTCTGATACAAAATTGTTTTCAATCACTGAGAAAATAAAACAAAGACACTTGGCTTGATATGCACACTCTTTGTGGGCCCCCCTTGGCATACTTAATTGAGGATCAGGATCCTCTCCTGATCTTTGTATGGGGATCCTCATGACCAACAAGTGTGGGCCGTTGGATGAAAATCCAACGGCTATAATTATTATAACTTTAAAGGAACCCCCTGTTTGTAGCCGTTGAATTTTCATCCAATGGCCCACACTTGTCGGTCATGAGGATCCCCATATAAAGATCAAGAGAGGATCCTGATGCATTAATTGAAGCAACTAGATAGTTAAATTAGTACTTAATTTGGATTTTATTGAATTTGAATAATTGGATACCAAATTATGAAATAGTGAGCACATACCAACAATAGGCCAACACTGTGTCCACGTGACGTATCTACTCAAAGCGTTTACCGTTAAGTACCAATAGCCTTTCGTTAAAATTTTCAATAAGGGAGTTTTAACGAAACACTCATGGTACTTTTCACTTTTAACGAAAACCACATTTTTACTTTTTCCTAGTATTATTCACTGCACCTTTATTTGTCATTTTTCATTAAAAATTACAGTTTTTTTTAGACTTTTTGTTAGTTTTCCATTTAAATAAACGTCATTAATTATTTCAATAATAAAATATTTTTTATTTCTAAATATATTCATTTAGTGTTAAAAACGTTACATTTGGTATATTTATATTTATGGCTAAATTTTTTTATTATATATTTTTATTTTTAGTTTGTACCCATTTTCAATTTGCAACCCTTTTTTTATTTTGTACCAATTTTCTTTTCAGTTTTAACGAGAAAATATGCCCGCGCGTTGCTGCGGGGCTTGAATAAATTTGTCGCAACAGGCATGAATAGTTTCCACACAAAGCAACTAAAAAGACACAGCACCTAAGAATCAATGAACAATTGGGACATCTTACTCATGTGAGTCTCAATCCCTAGTGAACAAAAGTCCTATTTCTTCTTCAAATTGAATCGACATCATTGATCAAGCAATTAAACATTCCTACTAACAAATAATTGACCCAAGAGTTGAGCAGATATATAGGGATTGGACAAAGGGGACGCAATTAAACTGTATAATTTAACAAAAGTAAAGGTCAACAGAGCTCTTCGAATTAAACTATATACCTAATTTACCAGAAAACTTCGTAAAATTAACAGTTTACCCGATATAAGCACTTAATTTTCCTATTTAAAACAGTTTACCCATTCTTGATAAGTAAAATATAGCTTGAGCTTAATTTATTAACAGCTTAATGCAATTCAAAAGTATTTTCTGTTGTGGCGAGAAGGAGAAGCTACAGCTAACCTGCCTTAACTTTTTACTTTTTCCATATGCATATGTACAGTTTACATGCACCCTCATACCATGTGTCTTGAGCTGTTATCTATCCTCCAATTGTAGCATTTTCGCTCTTCTGCACGGGAACCTCGACAGCAAACGATTTCATCTGTTATCGGTTAATGGAGATGTCTTCTGCACAACTGTACTACAAAGAGGGAGAGAAACAGTATTAGGAAAACACATTATACTCAAAATCATCACTAAAGATATTTTTAAACAGATCAAAATCCATTCATATGAATAGTTTCCACACAAAGCAACTAAAAAGATGTAGTACCTAAGAACCAGTGAAGTCAAACTTTGCTTGCTATATATGGATAGCTATAAGAAACATTCATTTGTAGATCGTACTGTGTCATCAATATCATAGTTTCAAGTAATCAGCCCACTACATGGAAGAAAAACACAGAAAACGGAAAGTAGAAAAGTAGAATACATAATACTTGAGCTCTGGCAAGAATAGTAAGTTTCTGAAAAAATTGCTAAACCGTCTTACAAATTCAATCATTAAACATTATACTTAACCTAAGACAAAGTATATAGTTTGTTTACAAAGCAAAACGAAGTGCTGCTATAATCTGCAACAGATATGAATCATTTCCGCATAAAGATACTCAAATTTGATGGCACATTGAATAACCAGCAAGCAAAGCAATATATGCCATGTGCAAACACGAAACTAAAACAAAAGGAGGATTAAATCGGATCAACCAAATAAAGAATCTATTAATCGGATCAACCACAATCAATATATTTGAACCCAACCAAAAAGAAACTAATTGCATGTCATAAGTTTATAAACACGCATAAAATATATAACCTTTCATAACTACTCAAAAGTAATGAATTTCGCAGTACATATTTCAATTACAAACCGCAAATAAAGTGGAATTCAAATTGATAAACTGGCAGAGGAAAATGCATTAACATTTTCATGCTATCTGCCTTGATGACAATATTCATGAGTATTGAGATTTTATAGAAATAGATAATGAAATGGATGAGAAAATAACAAAGAATGTTCATCCTTTTTCAATCAGGAGCAATCCAAAACAGAACTAAAAAGAACCCATCTTTCAATTTTAGCTCTTTGACACCATTGAAAAAACATTACAATAAAATTTTGCAAATCGTTACTTATCATTCTTCAGAAGCATTTTTATGATTTCTAGGCATATTTTTAAAAAAAAAGGTAGAAATATGAATCCAAACAACCTCCAATGGATACGCTAATAGGATCGTTAGCCAACCACTAAATACTTCCAAAGATTATAAAAAAGTGGTGTCTCTGTTACATGCATCTCCGAGACCCCCACCCCACGGCAGGCGAGAAAAGGGAAGGCAAAAATCAAAATTTGCCTCTGCCTTGCATTACTGAAAGTTTAAACTAAAATATTGTCTTAATTTGAAATCCGTCAAGGGCTATAGCTATCCCCTAAACTGCCATGTTACCCAAAATTCTTTTATCAGCAACGTAGAAAAGCATTTAACCACCCCCATTCCAATATATCTCACACAAAACCCAAGAAAGAACAATGCAAAGAATAGTAGAAAAATATTGAAAGACATGATTTACCTGAACGTTCACAATGAAGAAGAATTCTCGCCAATCATGCGCCGCATATTTCTACATAACAAAAAAATTGCAAAAAATATGAGTCACGTTTTAATCACCATTTCTAACAACTATTCAATAAAGGATCAAACAACATATAACAGTTTGAGAAAAAAAGGGAACTAAATTTAAGTTGAGTAGGGTAAATAATTGAAGTGACCTTGAGACATTTAAGGTAAGATTTTTGTGTAGTGTTGAGCCATATAGCAGGAACAATTGATATGCAACACATTTAGCCCATGCGTTGTTGCGGGAATGTCAAATGGATCATAAATATTGTAAGTGTTAAAATAAGGGAAACTTCTGAATAAACTATCAGTTGACATGAAAGTTCCTTATAGGAAGGAATTGTTATGATGCGGCTACTATTGAGATGATTGTGAAACTGATCATGTTCAACTGGATATATTTAAGCATTGATAAAATGAGGATTACATCTATGATTGCCATGTTAATTTTTATTATGATTTTTCTCATAACCTTAAAATAGGGCCAAGAATTTCGACTCACCATCCCCCTTTAGTACAGAGCAACTTGCTTCCTTTGTTAACAGACCAAAATAACACGCTCCTATTGAGGAATGACTCTAATGCCACACAACTGAAACATTACAAAGACAATTATAGAAAAATCCATTAATCCCTAGCTTTCATTTATCCAAAAGCATTTCGCATATTCATCATCTCTCTGATCATGAAAAATTTAAATTAATAATAATCACTCAAATCATATTACAATATATCACAAACTATGCCATCTGATAATCGATAAATTTAAAATGAAAACCATAATTTGAAATGTCCTAATTTTCACAAACACTTTCACAAAAGCCAAACAAAAAAAAAAACAAAAGGAGATGAATGAGAAATGAGAATCGAGTAATTACCATGTCCGGATTTGGATGAGGAAGGAAGAGAAGGCCATGATCGGCACTCAGTCTTCCTCTTCTTGTAATTTATGTTCCCCTTTCAAATTTCAAAAACAAAAAAACCACCCATACTTGATTCCCATAAAATAAAAATAAAAATAAATAAATAAATAAAACTGGTATAAAAATTTCATGACACCTATAAAAATCCACCGTGCATAGTTCTTTTAATTCTATCACAGAAACTTCATTTTAAACTAACCTTTACACAATCCTAATCATTTGTGAATTACCATATTCTTATCATTATTTCAATGTCTTCTTATATATAGGGTGAGCTCAGACCAGTCACTAAAGTTGCTAATGTATTAGGCATGACTTACAATATTCTTCAGTGTCATCCCCACTCCATTTCTTCCCAAAACCCAGGTATTCGGTGCCAGAACTCCATCTTCTCAGTTGTTGCATATCTTCTTGCAAATAAGTCATTGACTTCTCACACCTAGAGACCAAGCCATCACGTCGCAAACGCGAGCATCTCTGATCAGCATCAAAGGGGGTTGGCTTGGAAAATGATAACTGAGCATCATTCAAGGGATTATTCTGTAGCGATGTGCCTACTCTGGATGATGCCAAAGTGGTCCCTTGAATAGGTAATGAAGGTAGTCATCCATCGAGCCCTTGGACAGGTGCACTGTACTGCATGAACATGAGAAATGCGAAAAAATAAGAATTATAAAAAATAAAGTGAATCAATCAAACCCATGGATCTTATTGGAATTACTTTCATAAAAGCTTAAGCATTTTGGAAAGAACATTTTCATTTAAAAATAAATTTTAATGTCTTTCTATTCAAGTATGTTGGCCCAAAATTAAAAGTGATAGATGCTTTCAAACAGTTTACTTTGTACCCATCATTAACATTACAAATTTTTAGAAGTAATGTAGACGGATTTGTTTAGTTGCATCAGGCTCCTCAGTTTCCAACTGAATGCCAATTTATGATCCACTGCCCTTTCTTTTCAGACAATAAATCTAAAACATTGATATAACCAAATGTATCCGATAATAGAAAACTACGTAAATTTCCTAGGAGAGTTCATGAACAGAAGAACTGACAAAGTATTGAGTTGATCATGGCTTTTATACCTAACCCAGTGAACAGCTGCTGGAAGAAGTATCTCAGGAATAAGCAATATTATAATGGATTGCTCGGAAGCGCATATTCTTCAAATTCCTCATCGCAAGGACAGCAGCAAAGAGTACCCATCTCTACATTTCCACCAATATATACAAAAAAGTCAAAATTTGAGTTTCTGAAGACAAATCACACTTAAAACGGGCTCACCATCTCTTATTACTTATTTGCAGTGTATAGTAAGATCCAGTATCACATTCATACGCAATAGTATCTAGTACTAAAGCTCTGTCAAGTTTCACTCCGAAACCTCAAGTTACAGCTATAGATTATAATGACATTCATACACGATAATATTTAGTACTAAAGCTTTTTCGAGTTTCACTCCAAAACTCAAGTTACAGCTTTGTATTATAATGTTTCCCCTAGACAATGATCATTCACATTCAACAAAAGCATTCCAGCTGCTTCATTGATAAAGATTCATCAGCTATTTAACTCTACAAATAAGATAAACATAGAAAATTTAAAAAGAAACAGACATAACCACATAAACAGGCACGGCAACATATATTTTAAAACAAACAAAACCAAGTCACAAACACGCTTGATTTTTCATCCAGCGATCAAAATCAAACCACATCTATAAACCATGAAATAGTACATATGGAAATCAATTGTGATCGTCATCTAAAACTCGATAAATTAATTGTCAACATAAAAAATTACCTCACATCTTCACTTCTCTTCTGCTTTGGCATCAGCAGGTTGACTTCTAGGTTAACGAAGTCCTAAAAACAAAATAACGAAAAATGTTTACCAGTCCAACATTTCAACATGTGGTTTTGGTAAGTATGACATTTCAACATAAACGTGATATAGAAGACAGATATCCACATGTCATTTCGTTTGTTCAGAACCAACAAAAAGGCCAAATATAAGAGAATTGAACCAATTTAAAACAGTAAATCAGTCTCCCAATAAAGGAGAACATAAGCATGATATACAAAGATCGAAAGGCACTTTTAATTTGGTTTCCTCAAAGGCAATGAAAATAATGCTAAATCAAATTGAATTGAACAAAGTGGAAACGGGATAAATGAAGATTTGAAATTGCTTACATCTCTATCATATCCCGCATTTCCCTTACAAAATAAACAATTATGAATAGAGTACATGAAAATCAGCACAACAAAAAAAAACCCTATTGTTTATTATGCTGAACAATTACGAATACAGAAAATCATATAAAACAGTTCCTAATTACAGACTTAATACATACAATGGCCTAAAAAAAAGGCAAAATCTAATCAATTTCATCCAAACTCAATATTATACATCAAAGACACAATCTTTCGATATCCTAAACCAAAATTATCATACAAAAACCATAAATTTTCCGAATTCGCAAGCAGCAAGTCAATCTCTCTCAATTCCTAAACAAATTCTCATAATTCTAGAATCCAAATTGTAATCTTCGATAATTTTTTAAAGAAAATCAAGAAATTATACCTTCCATCGACTAACGTACCACTCCTCCTTCTCCACAAAGAAAGCATTGAACTTTTCCAATTTGTTCTCCAGCAACTTCACGAAATTGGTGACGTCTTTGGAAACCTCACCAGCTTCGCTGACTTTGCATACTAAATCTCTGTCGTCGGCCAATATGGGCTGTTTAGTAGAGATTTGCCTTCGTCTCTGGGATAGATCAGCGTCAGCTGCTTCTTCAAGTCCTTGTACGACAGATGAAGAATGGGTTAGAGATTAGTTTGATTAAGAATTAACTCACCTATTATTGATTAAGAATTAATCCCAACCATGCCAGCTCTCCACTCTCAATTCACTTATTATTGATTAAGAATTAACTCCTAAAATTAATTAACAAAACCCATTACTCAAAAATCCAAACTTTATAAGGAAAAAAAAGTAAATATTGGTAAAGCTCAATTAAAAAATGAATAGGAAATTGACACTGAGAAGAAACAAAGTAGGGAGCACCTTATCGTCTTCAAAACCACCTTATTCGGTTTTTCCTTGTTGATGATCTTGTCAAATCTACAAAAAAAAAAAAATACAAATTCAATTAATCAAACAGCTTACATTATTTCTGAATAAAAAAGTGATGGAAAATACACGGTTGGCCGAACATGTCGTCTTTGAAAGTAGAAGAATTTGAGATTCAATTTGGGTGGAAATGGGCAATGCTGGAAGGGAAAATAACACTAATAAAAACCAAAACTATTTCAACTAAACCTATACCCCAACCAAGCACAACCAAATGCACACTAATCACATTTGTAACTATAGAAATAGGGAACCAAACAGATATAACAAATGTAATATCATTGGTTCAAAAATATTAAAGGAGCTATAGGTCGTAGTGTAGCATGCAAAAGTGCTACTACTCTGAATTTCCAACATGCTCAACAGATCTCTGACTTTCCATATGTATTTAAATTGAAACTAAGAGATCATTTTTCCGCACACTGATTATTTGAGATTCGCTACAAAAATGAATCCATAACTTACTTACGTTTCAAAATGCACTCTAACATCCATTAATCTAAACATAATTTCTTGAGCAAAGCAAACAATTCAATCTCATTCCTCCATAAATGTCCTTGTTTTATTACTTCATGGGGCTAATTTCTTCCAAAAGATTCACAGCCAATGGTTTCCAACATTAAAATATAACAACATGTTGAACACATTAAACAAACAGTTTTTCCAATTACTAAACAGTTTTATTAAACGGGAAATAAGGTTATTTTCTTGTCACAGAAATAACATTTACAATGTATCAAAGCAAGTGGTGGTTACTAAAATGAATATGTTAGCATACTCTTATAGCATAAAATCTAATAACCTAAATGATAGTGTTTCAATTGATATCAACAATTAGAAACAACACAATTGCAAACATAAAGTTAGGTGATTTCATGGTTAAAAACCATGTAAACCACCTAGACATAAAGAAATAAAAAATACATGAAAATCAAGGACTGACTTGAGCTTGGAGTCCACATAATGCTTTTAAGAGTAGCAAATGTTCTTTTGGACTGAGTTCTGTTGGAGAGAGTTCCTTGTAATAAGATATCTCCTCTCTGCACAAACAGCAAAATGGCAAAAATGGTTAGTCTGTCTAAAGAATGAAACCAGATTAAATACAGTGAATGGCGCTAAGATGAATAAAACTGAAACAAACACCCATAATTTATAATTAAGCTAAGCAAATCACATCAAGCACAACACAATGACAACAATATGAACTTTCAAATAACATAACATCTATCAACTACTCTGAACAGGATTTTCAAAAATGGATAACTAACCTGTAATTTAGAAACTTATGTCGTTCACTCGCTTAGTGATTAAGTGTCCTAAGTTTGGGAAGAGTATTCCATGAGCTGCAAAACACAGTGAAACAAAGATCAAACAAAGACAAAAAGAAGTAGTTGAATGAATCATAATTTTGCCAAATTGTATGGCCATATGGTACAATGGGGGATCGTGACAGGCCATGGATATTGATGTTGACCTCAAACCTCACAAATCATATATAATTCCTTAAGAACCATATGTAATTTATCAACAAACAAACAGCTAAAAGCCAGCCCTGCAACTAATTATCTCACAAATAATGATTGTGTGCATATCTAAGATAAAACTGAACCAGATTCAAAGAATTATTCGGAGAGTTCTTTCATAGCTTTCATATGGTCATCAATTAAGTTTTGTAGAATTATGTCTCATACTTCTTAGCAATGAAAGAAACACAAATAGCACTCATACTCAGAACAAAAAATAATCTTTAATTTCTTCTAATAATGTTCTTGAGGGAGAGAATGAAACTGGAAATTTATATTTTGGAGATTTTAGTGCACACATACATACCAACATGTGCAAGGAAAGCAGTCTGAATTTGAATTGCAGCTATATCCTCAATTGGCAATCCAAGAATAAAACAGAAACCTATTCCTTATCAAGAACTACAGGGCTTGACTAAGAACATGCAACCATAATTGATGTTCTAGATTCTTATATTGAAAATTTTAAAGGACCAAAAGTGCATTACTCTCTCGGCTAGACTGTGGTTATATGTAGCTTGTACCCTTCTTGCCCTGACATGAATATAGTCTTGCTTGGGTGGCTCGGAAGGTTTAGAGCTTTCTTCAGCTGGCTTGTTGTCACCAGCAGCTGAACTTTCTTCAACTTCAGCCTTCAAACTGCCATTTTCATTACTGGATCCTGCTAATTTCACCCGTTTTCCACCTGAATCTTTCTGTTCATGAACAAACAGGGCAAAGAAAACAATAAACAACGATACAAAAAATTCAAGACCAATCAAACAACATACAAACAGACATCAATAACTGAATATCATGCAGCTTAACTCGCTTAACGACACACATCACGCCATTTTCAGATGCATTAACATTAAAAATCAAGTCTTTACATATAGCTGAGACAGTAGAATCGCAACTTCAGAATTTCCTAATATTACATGGATTCTATAACATTAGATAAAATTATCTATACTACACATATGCAGATCAATTCCAGATAAATTAAGATCAAATCAAGGTATGGAATATATCAATTTAGGGTTGGAAAATCACCTTGAAATTTCAGTGGACATAAAGTGAGCGAGAAAGCTAAGAGACAGAGACAGTGAGAGAGATGGGAGAGAGAGAAATGGTTTGAGAGATGAGAAAGTGAGAGATGCAGAGTCTTAGAGCCGGCTTCCCTCAACCTCTTGCGTTGTCCCCATCACCTCGATCCAATCGAATCATAGAGGCTCGATCCGATCGAAACGAAGCACAACCTCTCTCCCCCTTGAAATCTGAAATCCCCACCCAAAAAACCACGCATGGGCCTCCATGACACAAACGATGGAGTAAGACGACATAGGCGAGGGAAGGCAGACGGCGGTGAGAGGAGGATAGGATGGACGCGAGACCGTCTGTGTTGTTCTCGTCGGGTCTGTGAGACAGAAGAGGCAAGGAGGGTTTGAGAAGGAAACGAAAAAGACCGCCTCTACCATCGTTCTTCCTTCCCACGATCATCAACACGTATGCATCAAGATTAACGGCAGAGAGGGCCAATGGTAGTCTTGTAAATAAACTGAAATGTCTTACAAAACACTGTTCATTTCTACAGTGCAATTTTGCCAGCTTCTTTAGACTAAAGTAATTTGTATCCATATATTAATTCTTTTTTGTGCCCATATTTTTAAAACTTTTATTTGTATTTGTACTCATATTTTTTAATTTATTTGTACCCATTCTTAATCTTCTAAATGTACCCATGCTAATTATATGTATTATTTTATGTTTTAAAATATATCAATAGTTATTTTTTAAAATCTGTTAATGATTATGTGGGTACATTAATTTTTTGTATAATTTTTGTGAAGAACAATATAGCCCTAAAATTGATTTAAGTATTTATTATATTTTCAAAATATTATTTGATTTGTTTAAATTTCATAATTTGTGGGACATTAAATGTATAAATGCATGAGTTAAATCTCTTAAACGAGGCTAAAGATCTCGATCAAAATATTTAAACAAACAAGATTTCAGTTTAACAATTAGATTGATTAGGACTAAAACCAAAATGACTCAAATATAAATAATGTACGTAAGCAGGAATCAAATCGAAATTATTGGTTTGTTGATGTCCCAATATTGATTATTAATGTTTGTGATCGTCAATGATGAATTTTTTGGATGCATGTTCAGGTTCAAAACAACAAATTGGGCTTCTTTTAAGAAGCTCTTGTGTGCAGCAAACCTGTGAAATCTAGGCCCACATGTAGAGAGTCTCCCTTCCTCTAGCAATACTGCAAAAACATTTTCTGTCATTTTAATCACGTAACATAAAATTAAAATATACTTTAATTACACGTTTAAATGTCACCTCTTTGCGAGTGTGTGATAATGACCTCATAAAATAGTTGTATTGAAAATTTTGACCGTTCTAATTACACGTTTTTATTATTATCATTTTTTATTTTAGATGAGCAACAACAAAAGAAGAATCAAACTTGTAATTTCAAATATAAAATTGTTTTCAATAACTGAGAAAATAAAACAAAGACACTTGGCTTGATATGAAAACTCTTTGTGGCCCCCCTTGGCATACTTAATTGAAGCAATCAGAAGAGATTTTTCAATATGATCGGTACACCGGGATGGTACATCACGTGTCATTATACAAATGTTATGATATGTGTGCTAAAAAATTAATAACTTAAAAAATAAAATTTCCCACCACTTCTATTAAAACACATGATGTACTACTTATGCTCTCTTCATAATGAAAAATTTCTTAGCAACTAGATAGTTAAATTAGTACTTAATTTGGATTTTGTTGAATTTGAACCATTGGATACCAAATCATGAAATAGTGAGCACATACCAACAACAGGCCAACACTGTGTCCACGTGACTTTACCGTATACCGAGGACCAAAAATGAAACGGTAATTTCCAACCATTTAATTTGTTTATTAAACTCATTTTATTTGTTTATTCCTTACACTAGGAATTTTTTGGAACTTGTGGAGGTAGCAAGCATAATCATAATTTAAATAAAATAATATTTCTACTACTTTGAATTTTATGTGATTACAATTAAGTCACGTTAATATTTTATATTATTTTTTATTTTATTATTTCTATAAAAAATTAATATAAAATGTTAACGTAACTTAACCGTAACCACACATCACAGGAGAGACGGCATGGGGAGAGTATGAAAATGAGATGACAAACAATCCACCTCCTTTTAAATATTAAAATAAAAAAAAATCTTTTCTTTTTTTATTCGGGTAAGTAGGAAACTTCCAGGATATAAGGTCTTGTAAATACATACAATTATGAATTTTTTTAATTAAATTATGTTTTCTTTTCTGTTAATTCAAGGTGTTGTTTTGCATAAGAGCTTTCCTATTAACACACGTTACACGTTAAGTTCACCTCACCAAAGCATTTTTTACACATTATTTGACAAATTTACCCTCTCAAAACCAAACAACTTAAAAAAAGAAAAAAGAAATAAAACAAATCACACAACCACACCCTATCGGAAACCCCACTCTCGCCGACAACCCAACCCCTCGCTCTCGCCTGAAACCAGACTCCTAGTAGAAGTGGTTCCGATGACTCCGTCTACCACCCTTTTCACTTGCATAGTCGCATGCTGTTTCCTTTATGTTACAACTTAGAAAGAGAAAGTTAAACACCTTGTACGACAAACTATATCCCTGGTCCGCGTCGGGGTGTTCGTGCGAGGGTGCAGAAAGGGGCGGAGGAGGGGTGTTGGGCTTTTGCTGGACCGACGGTGATGCGCGGGGAAGATCTCAGGGGGGTCTAGGAGCGGAGATGGTGGTGCGCGGTGGGAGGTGGGATGTGTGGTGCGGATGGAGGGGAGGTGGGTCGTCAGTGGGGACAAATTGTAAATTGTTATGTTCAATTTTTTTTTTTTTTGTAAAATTTCTTTTTTATTGATTGTCATGGGTATATTTGTAATTTAAAAAATTCAAATCTCAATGGTAATCTGACGTTAGTGGGCCATTATTAACTGGTGTCATGTTGACACCAAGTAGCCGTTGGCACTCAAATGGGCTGAGCTAGAGTGTTGGGCTGGAGGGCTGGCTGGTTGGAAATTGTCAGTCTGCTAGCCTGATTTGGGGGTTTAGGCCCAGTGAGGCCCACAAGCCTTTTAACCTAGCTGTCGATTGGAGACGATTTTCATGTTATTTTTAGTTATTTTTAACTCTATAACTCTTTAGCCATATTCGGATGGAAATAGCCTAACTGACATAGTAAATTAATTATTATTTTATTTGGAATTGTTGGTAATTAAGCGGGCACCACATAAAAATAAAAAATAAATAAAGATAAAATTAAAAAAAGGAAAAGGGGAAAAGAAGCAGCTGAAAGGACCACCAGTAGAGCGAAACGGACATTCATAGCGCTCCTTAAGTTGGATGGGTCCCGCATGATTTTTACACAGATCCCAATCCATGATCAATTCAAAGAGTCGGCATACGGTTGGGATACGTTTGCCCACCGTATTTTATTCTTTTCATGGGGTTGTGATAAATGCAATTTACAATAATTTGGGGTTTTCCACAAAACCCTAAACATGCATATGTACTTACATTTGTTGTGGTCCCGTATATCTTGTTATGCTTCTCATAGAAGCCAGAATGTGCTCATATGACCACTTTGACATTATTGGATTACGAAATAAGAATCCAACTCCTTTGAATAAAATACCCTATAAAATATGTCATTGTCCAAAGCACTTGTAAGCTTGGCTTCAATACAAAACACATCTGCAATTGTCATTCCATGTTACATTTTATAAAGTCATCACCTTTAATCATAGCATAGAATTTTTAGACACTCAAATATATGAAGGTGGAAAAGCAAAACATATATTAAAGGATCATTCTCACTTTACTACTCTGAAGTATTGTGATTTTTAAACTTTCATACATCAAGTTTTTTTAATCATAGTTTCATTCCTAACAGAATTATGAATATAGGAAAAAACATAACTTTAGATATGAGACCGAGATAAAAAAAACTTTGATCAATGAATGTTTGAAAACCACGATACTTCAAGTTAGTAACTGAAAATTACCCTATACTTAGCAAAAGTGCATGGAGTCATTATTTTGTTTAATGACCATTGACCTAGCCTGATGAAAAGTGTAAGGGTATTTGAGGACGTTTTGTGGGATCACCTTACATTATTCCTAGTTCTTAAGTATTAACGATTCTATTGATCATTGAGATTTTGTAGTTTCTAATCAACTCAACGTTCAACGATGTGTTTGAAGTACGCTTATTTGTTTTGACCCTTGACTCTTTTAAATTAAATACTTTATGAATATGTTCATGTAATGCCTTTTAAATAGTGAATTATTTTTTTTGTCTACGGGGATATAAAATTTTAAGAAATATGATGTATAAAAAATATATAAAAATAAAGAAGAATAGAAAATATAATTCTATAATTTCCAAACAGATTGAATATTTGAATCCATCAAGCCAACGACCAAAAATCAACAGAAATGGCAAACTCGTGTTTCTGCATTTAGTATAGTAGTAACAAGGGTACGGAAGTACTTCCGTATCTTAATTTTTTTTTCAGTCAAATTAATGTACTTGAAAAAGTCAAGTCAAATACAGAACGAGGAAGAAACTGATTCGACGCTGGATTAACATTAATTAATGGATTACAAAGGCCACGGGAAAAAACAAGGCCAAATGCACGTAATAATTACTGTAACTTTATCAGTACATGTAATATTATACCCCACATGTCCCCCAGCGACCAAAAAGTAAAACCTCCACCTTCATTTTAATTTTAAACGATGTAAATTTGGCACATGAAATAAACATGGCGAGGAAAAGTTGAAAACAAAAGACCTTGTACAGGTATTAAGCAAGTTCTTTTACAATGTTGTTTCAATGCTACGCATATTTTAATCGTTAAATTTAATTTTCACGATTGTTTATGTCTTTTATTTTCAAATTGTGCTTTTTATTTTGCATGTTACACACATAATGTTTATCTTCACACACATTATTGTTTATTTTTAGTTGTTGATTTTGTTTGATTTATCAAATTAGAATGATTAAAAATATAAAAAGCTACATAAGAAGTTAAAAAAAATGTGGAAAATCGTTTTCTATCACTAGATGGATTACGTAGTGTTTAAGAAATTTCCCTTTTATGCTTTTGGTAGAAAATAATTAGTTACACCCTTTAAGTCACACTTTCACAGTAAAGGTAAGTCACTAGCTAAAATTAATATTTTGTTATTGAGAGACGAACCATTTTCTTATACATCATCAACTTACGCTTTTTGAATAACCTCGGCGGAACAAGGAAGCCTCGGCGGAACAAGGAAGTTTTTTTTTTAAATAAAACAAAAAAAGAATACTTAATTGTGAATGACATAAAACACATAATTCTTCAATAATACACAATCTGTCACATCCCGGGCTCCACTCCACCGTAGCACGATATTGTC